CGTGTCTACGAGAATCACCCAGGGTGGTTAATTCGAGGATTAAATAACGCGTGTAGCACCTCAATATTCGCACACCTAGTGCACATGAAGCATTCCGTCGTTATCACTAAAGCTTTTTGCCCAATCTACCGTGTGGGAAGTGGCCCTTCAACAAGTACCGGACGGTGAATCCTCGCGGGGGTGGAGGCGACCGCCATTCGTCTCAACAAGTACCCGGTTGTGTGTGTGCATAAACACTTAGTTAGGGCTTTACCGTGACCAGCTGTCGTCCGGGCAGCATCCGCGTGAACAAATCGCACGCACCTTGGGCACTATGACACCTCCATTTTCTAGTTACGCAATCCATCCTTTCATATGCTGACTATTTAAATGCGTTGTATTTGGCCCGACGATGAATCACCGAAAACAAGCTTGTCCGCCAAACCGCACTTTCGTGATCGAGAAGGAGAATAATACCCGACCAGAGATCCATGAGTGCTGGGGGAAAGGGCGATAACGTTGTGACGAAACACGGACATGAAACAGATTCGCAATGTGTTTCGTGTGAGAATTTGAGGACTATTGATCATATCGGGACGAATAGCGAAGGTACGCCAACCCAGTTAAATCGATGGCAAATGCAGAGCAGAAAATGTTTACTATGCAGCGGGGTCTCCCAAAAAAACCGGAAACTAAACATTAGGTATCTACTATTACTGATTCGAGTAACGCATAGAGTTTGAGAGTCGTGTGGTATGATATTTTTCTTATTGAGCAAGAGAGATCAACAGTATGCTTGCAGGGATACCTGGAACATTTCAACGCAAAAGAAGCATTGCGGAGTCTAGAGAGGGGGAGAAAGAAGACAACCAAACCAATCAGTTGGTGACTGTCGGTGCGGCAATGCTGAATATTAATGCGACACTGAAGAACTGCATACCACTGCTCTATCCACTGGGTAACAGTGTGGGCGGTGCGCTCAACGACTGAGATCCAAATTTTAACATATTGATCAACCGTCAGGGGCCACATACAGAGACAGGCTCCTGGCCATCCAGGTTGGAAGTCTGAACTGCCGATGGTATCCATTTCCGGAAAACCAATTTTTACTACTAACAGTTTCGTTGCACCACGATCAGACATTTGGGTCAAAAGTTTTATCTGATGGCTCCAATCGTCCTCCTGGGTAGGTTAAAGCGCCAAGAAGGTAGCCCAACACAGTTGCATCCATGGATACAGATTATGTGCATGGGGTGGTCGAGGCCATCAATAAGCGGCCATCTCACAAGATACTTTGACTGTGGGCTGTTGGCAAGAGGCAGACGGTGTGAGCCAAAGTGTCTTTCTGCAGCATTCAGATTGTCAGACAGACACACGCTTTAAATACCTCTCATTACTATGTCAGTAAACTCAAGTCAAGTCAAAATAGGCTTTAATCACCTAAATAGGTGCATTATCAGCGGTTACGCTACCAATCCGGATACATCGAATGAATGGGATCAGTTTAAAAAAAAACATAAATACAGATTGCAGAATTTGTAGTAACATCATCTTTCCACCACACATATTTTTCCTACACAACAAGTGGTAAGACGATACACCAAGTCACTTGATAGTTTTACCAGCCGTATTGCCTATCACTCAAAAGCTACACTTAGCATTCAGTCGATACCATCTCCGAACAACTGTACACCAAGGCACATAACACTTCGCAGACTTCCTTCACAGGTTTCCTTCTTTTGTCCCGTCATTAATTGGCGGAAGCATCAAAATAAGCCACTGGGAATACACGCATTTACTTCTTTACGGCGTCAATAACGACGGGGCATTAGTGCTGATTTCAGCACTAAAGATGCGCTCCTACAAAGTAAGTCGTCAAAGGGATGTGAATGTCATTTAAGCAACTGCATGTGCAAAGCATTTGCGACTATCATAGGGTCAACGATAAAGCGTGACAAATAAGGCAAGATTGTGTGAGAGAATAAAATCCTAAATTTTGGTTGAGTGTGAGAGATAGATAAGGTTTGTGCGAGAGTATCCTGTAGAGAATAAGAGCGGTCACTTAGGACCCTAGAAAAAAATTCATGCACGCGTCAAACTGCTTACGAGCAATAAAATAAACCATGTAATCTCTCAGCAAGTCATCACATCTGGAAATATGTTTAATCGATCGCCGAATGTAGACATAATTCTTCACCAGTAGGCCAGAGAAGAGTACTGGAGTAGAGTACAACCAGTGGGGTAGTGTACAAGCAATTACAAATCTCAAAATTAACCTTGGCGGTAAGGAGAATTTCCTAAGTCGGAAAGCATAAAAAGATGACCTTCAGAACTTGTGAAAGGTCTCCAAAACGTTCATGGAGCAAGAGAGGTTATGTGAAAAATAGACACCAAGATATTTCACAGTAGATGAAATAGGAATGCTTCTGTCCTCCAAAATTAATAGAGGAGAGGCAACTAAAATTACTCGCAATTTCTCAGGGTGGAGAAATGAAGGATTATATCAAAGCATTAAGTTTAAGGGAGCTGGTTGAGGACCGACTCACAAATTCGTCTAAACCACATTGAAGCGTATACGCCTCAATAGAGAAGCTCTAAGCCCCAAGACAACCTCGTCAACATATTTATATCCAATGAATGTTGATGGCATGGGGAGATTTGCAACATATAGAGAGAAGAAAATGGGTGAGAGGATCGCACACTGCAAAACACCATAGTCAGTGCGGAGCATATAGGAGCATTTGCCGTTTAACTGGGTAAAGTGTATACGATCAGTGAAATAGTCACGAAACAAGTTACGAATATCAGAGTGGACTCCGTTCAAATAAAGTAGGTTAAACAGAACTGATTGAGCAGGACTCCCAAACTCATTTGAATAGTCAAGAGGAAGTCGGACGGACCTGCATATTTTAGCCAGCGCAGCGGCTATCGAATGCAAAAGGTACGAGACAGCAACAAGCGTGGAGCGCTGGGGGTCTAAACGAAAACCTGGTAGACATCATCAGTAAGGGTGGCTGTGGAAATCCGTGGAACATTTCGAGGACTTCTAAGAGCATAGAAGTACAAGAAATAAGCCCATACGTCTGAGGTTCCGTTTTAAGAATTGACACTGTTGACTGACCTCCAGATGTCGGAGATGGCACCAATCGTGAGACACTTGTTAAAAATAGCAGTCAGGTGTCGTGTAAGGGAATCAGCGCACTGCTTCGAAATCACGGGTAATAAGCCATTAGGGACACTAGCTTTATTTGTATTTAGCTTCTTGAGTTCACTGTTGACGTCAACTTGATCAAATAAGGCGGCTGGGTTTCAGCTAGTGAAGAAGGGTAATGAAAAAGCGCTCGACGGAGAGGAATTAAACTCAGAATTGAGTTCGGCAACATCCCCATTATTCCAGTGTACCTGATGGTACTGTCATCACAGATTTGCTTCAACAGCCTCCACATGTCCGACAGTTACGGTTTCCCAGTACCGTTTCAACGTATAAACTGTCTAGTCGTGTTATATTAGCTTTAATTGCTAAAGTTAGGCTTTCGACCCAGGTTGTCATTTTGTGGTCGTATGGCAGCGAAGGATGAGTATTACCGTGTACTGTTGCTATTGTGGTGGCGTTGGGGGCAAGGAAACGGTTACATGCAATCCATTTCTCTATTCATCTTGTGCCTGAGTATCATATGGTGGTTCCACACACAAGCTTGGGAAACCAGCCCTTTCCGTACACAACACCGAAGCATAAATGGCAGCCTAGAATCTTGACAATCAAGTCACTTGAGAATGTGCGCGACACAAAAGCGATTATTCGAGAACATGTGAATGAAAGATGGATGGATAGTTTGCACAGAATCGTGCAACAAAGCAATCTGCCGGACCGAAACTAATGCACGTCATCGCGCGCTTCGACCTTACTTAATTTCATCAGACGGAGATAAGAGGCCTTGAACTCGGGACCAATCTTAGTTGGGATCTCTACCCATCAGTCACCGGGTCACGACGGGCAACGCTTGGCACAATGGTTAATGACTGATCGGAGGGCCATTTTGGAGTTTAGGTGATGTGATTGGATTGCGACCCGCAGTCTCAATGTGGACCGCGATTCAAATTGAAGTGAACCTTGGTCAATGAAATCACTAGGAGAGCAGCCAAGGCATATGGAACTTGGGTGTTGCCCGCCCGAAAACACGGCACACCAGGACGCGTTTCGATCTCACCAGGTGGAGATAGTAGGCTTTGAACCCGCGACCATTGGAATATTAGCCGAAACTTCGCCCCTTTGGCTACCGGGTCACGACGGGCAACCCTTCACACAACGGTTACTGACTGGTTGCAAGTTCATTTTGAAGTGCTTATTGTGTGATTGGATTGCGACGCACAACCTCAATGTGGACCGTAGTCTGCCTTAAGCACTTATTTGCTCATAACCACCGGAAAATTACAAGCCTCAATCAAAGGTGCAAGTAACTTATTCACGATGGTCGTTGCCGTCCCCGTAGCACAGTGGTCTCAACTACGGACTGGCAACAATCGAGTTGCGGGTCCGAGCCCTATCAGGGTCCGATGGAATGCGCACTGCTGACGATTCCCGAAAAGACGAAACGCGCGTACAGTACTTTTCTGGACTCAGTAAGTCTAGATGTGACGAATTTCTACCTACACACTTCAACTCCCCCTACAACTTCTCTGTAAAGATGCAAATGCCCAAACTGATCAAAACAAGATGACTCGGCATAAACAAAGGCGAGTCGCCTGGTAACTCATAACTTCGGTTATCAGAAACATAAAGGACATCGAACTATGTCCAACAAACGGGCAGAATGATGAGTGATATGACAAGCGGCGTGACGTGGACCAGTCAGACTGATTTTGACAACAGATTCTATCCAATAAATCGGATTTGGAGTGAACCGGTGAAGGAGGTGGCCAAAAAGTGGTACGATTCAGGTTCAGTTAAAACGATGGCAGAAATAACCGCACAAATTTGACTCTGGCCTAAAAACAAACGAGAAAAGAGGAGAGGAAATTACCCGATTTGTTTTTACGCGAAGACCGTGATGTGGTTGGTGTTTTAGAACCGGTAGTTGCGATTGGAGTGGGAAAATTTCGTCTCCGACGTAAAATAGGAGAAGACGGGGCTGAGGTGCTGCACAGTTTTGATTGAATTACTTCGGCACCAAGGAGATCGGTGGACAAGAAAATTTTCGTATCTGTTGGCGTCGGGGACAGACAGCTTCGTGGCGAATCGCCTTCGTAGACCAACTGGTTTAATTGGCTGATCGCGCGTGCAGACTGTGAAGTCACACTAGATCGTGAGGTTCTGCCAGATGGTATAGCGGAATTGGAAAACACCGCGGTGGCGAAGTACAACTGTGAGGGCGGCGATAACAAGCAACCTGGGAAGATATCCCACCAAGCGGTTTTATCCACTGGGATTAGATGTGAGCTCAGCATCTGCAATAGATGAAACGAACACCGGATGGTGCTGACCAATGTCCGGAATGTAATTTCGCACCAGGACCGTCGAAAATTTATGCACTTGTCAGAACAAGGGTACGGACAATGTCCCGAGCTCATGTTAACGATAACAAAGGACGAATCAGTGACATATATATCCGATTCACTAAAAGTAGAGAGGAAGCCCTGTGACATATGGAAAACGGATGATATGTCAAGGATCGGAAAAAGTGCAAAACAGTGCCACATAGAAAGTCGATCGTCGACGAGATAATCAAAGCGCTGGTTAAAAGGCAGCAAAACCTTGCAGATGAAAATGAGATTTCTTAGGAATAGAGGTAAAAAAGTTCACGTTTACAAGTAGAAACAATGCATACCGATGCTTCCCTACTTTCTAACGCAGAGCCCAACGACGGTGAGGAAGCAAAGACGAATCTTAAATGCCTACAGAAAACATACAGAACCAGAATACGTACAAATGATCAACGGCGCAGTCAAACAAAGTGCAAATATGGAACGACAGCTGCAAGGCAGTAACGTTGTGACTCCGAGTCATAAGCCCCCTGTCTTCACAGGCAGCTCATCAGCAGAAACCAAACACGTGATCCGATGGGACAACGACGATGAGTCCTGTTATACTAATGAGTCAAAATCCAACAAGCAGTAGGTAGATCGGGAGGTCGGATGGACCAACAGCACGGAAGTTAAATGACAACAAAGTCATCTGAAGGTGCTCAAGCTGATCAGTAAAGATAGGTACATGTCACATAGGGGATAACTGTAATAATGCCGTCGATGGGAATTAGATTCGTCGTCCCCTGTCTTGGATTGGTCGCATAGTAACGAATTCGGCTTAGTGCGGTGACGCGACGCACCAAGCTTTGTTCGTAGGTAATCCTAATCGACTCGTAAATTGCTCTCCCGAAGTGTGCCGCGCGCGTCAGTCAGACCAACCACTCTCAACGGGAGCCATATGTCCATGGAGCCATAGATAATTCCAGGGGGGCGTGGGATGGGAAAATTTTTTAGGGGGGCCATGCTGTGAAAAGCGGATTGTAATAACACAAATAAGGAAATGCAATTAAAAATATTTCACTGCTAGTTTCTTCCCGCACACGCGAACTACCGGTCAGTGAAATGAATTAGGCGCGCTCAAGTGGGTGTTTACGAAGGTGTGAGAGCCAGCTTCGAGAAACTTGAGCAGATCTCGCCGGACTCTTCGCAAGCATACAATCACTATACAGCGACTGAGCCTGTGCAAGTAATAACCGCTTCGTCCACGGGACTTTGATGCCTATCCAGAGTGAACCAATTGAGCTCTACTAAAGACTCTGATGCACCTACTGCGCAAGCTGTAGTGAACCCACTGAAGTTCCATGAACACGCTGCGGCAGTTACTGCACAAAGCTTCCATGACACTAACAGTTTTCCTAAGGACACAACAACTGCGTGACAACTCAAGTGCCGGTCGATCTTTCTATCTCGTAAGGTCTCAGCGCAGTAGGTCTAGGTTGTTCGTTTTTCGTATCCAGTCTCAACTCGCGTGCACATCCAGCGGCTAGCTCACATGAGTCAACAGCGCTCCGAATTCGAGTGGCTACTCTGCGCGCGTGGAGTGATACCTTTGAAGAACGTTCGTCTCTTCCGAGTAAGAGTCAAAACACTTTCTTAACATTCGGTTCAACTGAAGCCTCCAAAATAACGAGCAGTTTTTCTGCCTATACGTGTGGAAGTTAGGTTTCGTTGGTAAGTATACATAACCTATGGTGTACAAATGGATACTTCGCATAATGCGTATGATAAGCGAATGCCTTGCCAACACGCATTGAGCGCCGTGTTTCGCAGCATCCGATGGTTATTAGTTCCGCTGTTGACTACCCCATGCCGGTTGGTTGAACTATCCGGCATTCTCCTCCGTGTTTGTCTCTTCCGTAATCTATTTTACCTGTTGTCACTTTGTGCTAAAACTTTCCTGTAATTCATGTGTGTCTAGTGATCATAGTCATTTTCTGAATTCCATATGTTTTCTTCCGTGGCTTTTGTCAAGAGGTTTCCTTCTGTCATTTTAGTTATCCACGGTATTTTCAAAGTCATCTTTAGTAACCACGTTGGGGTTACCTCTAAGTGTTTCTACAATAGCACATTTTAATATTCTAGCCAACAACAGATGTTATAATCTCACGATCAAGCAAGAATAGATTTAGTGCCACCAAGCAATCCTACTACCTGCGCGTTTCGCCTTGTAGAGTGATGTTATATGATACCCATTACACAATTGTAATAAAATTAAGACAATAGCAATATTACATTACATCTTAACAAATTACAATGACATTTCAGAAATGAGCACCTCAACAAGGAAGAAATGTCGACAGTACTTGGCGGAATCCTTGACATTTAGATTTATCGCATCATATCAAAATCTCACTCTACCCATGGGTTTAATTTGCTAAAACACTTCCAAATGAAACTGTGCGACAAAATAAACTGAAAATATCATTTGGAAAGTCTGAGGATTTTTTCAGAAAGCTGCGGGATACTTCCGAAAACAGGCCAACTCTAAAAACTATGGTTTCTGATGGCGCAAATTAGATGGTGAATGGACTTACGGCATCTTACAAAATCAGCAAGTTGATTGCCAAAAATTGCAGTCCATATGAAGTTGGAGAAAATATTGGTTTTCTTTAGTATTAATAATACTGTCTGAGCTGGTGAATATTAAACCACACAAAAAAAAGTTTAAGCCATTCTGTTCAGCAACTGAACTGTATACAGCCGAATAGATCAAATGGCTCAGGACATAAAAAGTATCTTAGTTGCCTTAATCTAGATTAGGAAATTCTCGTTAAAATTAGCTGCATCTAATATAGCTGACAACGACGTTCTTCATGTGGCATATGTCCGATTATTTAATGACATGAAATTAGTGGCAGATGCTGTTTGCCAGGAGAATTGAAATTCAGACAAAGGGTCAGTCTATATTTGAGGTAGTCAATAGTCATCTGACTAGAAACTCCATCCCAATGCAGAACCTAGTTGCGTGCACAACAGTTGGTGCTGCCGTAACGGTCGGAAAATAGAAAGGATTCATTACAAATCTAAAAAAACGTCCTCCTTTCTGTTCATACAATTCACTGTGTGATTCATCGAGAGCACCTAGCGGCTAAGAAATCGGGAGGGCGTTTAAACGAATCAAATGTCAAATGTTATAATAGTAGTCAAGAATATCAAACCGCACCCTAAACATCGTCACTTTTAGCAGTTGTGTGAGGAGAACAATGAGAATTTCCAGGTTCTACGATTGCATCCGGAAGTTAGATGGCTCTACAAGAGCAACTGTCATCGCTGTTTCGTTGCATTTAGGAACCAACATCTCATTCCGTTCTGGAACTGATCATGTAAGAAAACTGTTGACAGCTAAGCCAGACTTAGTTTATCTGGCTGATGTTTCTGGAAAACTCACTAAATACAACACTCCAAGGCAGGTTGAGTAATCCCATCTCGAACAAAGAAGCCATTAGCACTTTTCTTAAAAAGCTAGAAGCGTATACGCAAACCATCGGACGTCTGGAATTTTCACAGTTCCCAATTCTCGCTACAGTCACGAAAGAGCTGAAGGATGAAAACTTGACTGTTTATGCCAATCACTTACAACAACTCTGAAAAGAAATGAAGGGGAGGTTTCATGACTTGATTGACATTGAAATCAAGACTTGGATCCATTTGAGGTACAGCTCTGCAATGTGCAGGAAAATCTCATAAAGCTCCAAAGTGACGCAATAGCAAAATCCAAATTCAGGCAACATCTAAGGATTTTTTGGATAAAGACTGATGCCCCAACCAGATATCCCAGACTGTGGAAAATACCTGAAATATATCACCTTTCTTTACCATCCACATACTTAGGTGAATGTGAATTCAGCAGTGGTTTCTCTAACAAAACGACTGGACAGACTGGACATCACAGCAAGAGATCTTTGACTCTCGCTGTCCAGTCCGGTGCCGGACATAAGTAAGCTTGCTTAAGGACATCAGGCTCAAGACTCGTATTAATATATGGACAAACATACTGGTACGAAGTTACTATACCTCTTGACTCATCAGATGACTTACATTTAAGTGCCACCACGAATTAAATATAATATTCAGTATTAATGATAACTTTTGTGTAATGGCAGACAAGTTGCTTGATGTTGTCGCACAAAGAAGGTTATCTTGAGGCTGTGATAGTTAGAAAACGAGGTTTGTAGGGAAAGAGTCCTAATACTAACATTAAAGAATCCAGCCATCATAACAGAAGATACCAATATGAACACTATACGATTTCCCGGCCAAGTTGTCCTCTTGGGCAACAGAAATAATCTGAGGGGGCATTCAACATGAGTCTACTCAATTAATTTGTTCCGTGCGTACGCCGGTCGCTTGTGCAGGGGTGTAGGTGTGCGTGTATAGCCCGTCGCCTTCAGCCAATTGGACCTCAGACGCACTAAGTCACTGGGGTGCGGGTGGGACGCCTCAGCTCCTACGCACGGAACAAATTAATTGAGTAGACTCATGTTGAATGTCCCCTCAGATTATTTCTGTTGCCCAAGAGGACAACTTGGCCGGGAAATGGTGTAGAGAATGCCTAGCGTATACGGGCAAACTGATTGCAACACACACACACCCCCCAAAAAAAAACTTAGCCGCACACACCCAAATGCCGCCACTAACTGACTGACGCATAACAACTATGCCGATTAGTTGACGCATACCCCTAGTCCCGTGCGCAAGAGACAAAGAAAACAGACATTTGTGGTGTGCTTATTACGACTAAGCAAACATGAGTACAGACCAGGACGCCAGTTTGATAGTGAAGATACTGACTCACTCCCTCGAGGTGTTAGATTCAAAAAGAACATATTCAATTGGAGGTGGTTGGGTGTTGCTCCTCCCAAACAATGACACCCCATCGTTTTGGGCTCATCAAATGGAACTCGGGGACTAGTTGTTAAATGCTGATGCCTTGAGCACTATGGGTCTAAGATTCGTAAGCAACGCTTGGCACATCGGTAAGGAATTTAAAGTCGGATTTGAAATATTCGCTGAGTCGTTAGATTGCGACACGCAATCCCTATTTAGACCTGCATTCACTGTGAAGTAGACCTCGGTCATTACGAGCACAAGGACCGTATCGAAATCGGAGGTGGTTCGGTGATGCTTTTCCCAATTCCGTACCCGCTACGCAGGAAATTCGTCTCGCCCCGTCTGGCCTAGTGACGCGGGCGGTGATGTGTGACTTTTGCGGGATCGCTTGGCACTCCTTCAACAAGAAAAGTGTCCAGTGGCGCGGCGGTAATAGCGTTAACCAACATGGCCCTAACTCAAGCTACAGATCCGTCACCTCCATCTGACGAATGAAAGTGAGTGCCAAAACGGTCGTTTGGATGTAGCGCCATGAGTGCATAATGCGCAACAGTAATACGCATCTCGGAAAGCGGGTAAGGGTCTAGCTTTTGTAAATAGTTCTATGGAATATCACTGATAGAAGATTCGAAATACCCACAGCGCATTATTAAAGCATTTTACATGCTGTTTCCAAGACTTCAATGCACGGAGAATGGGTGCCAAAAGAGTGGGAAAGGTGGGGAAAGAAAACGCTCAACAGATACCGTGATAAACGATTGCGAAATTTTGGTGATATAGTTGAAGAGTATAAGAAGTTTAACAATATTTTCTGAGGCTGCAGAAAACAAAGACAAAAGTGAGAGGGTTGTTTTCCGCTCAGAGCTTGGAATTGTAGCTGCAGACGAGGCTCTGTGTGAATCAGAGCTTGGAAGCCGCGCTGATGATGTTCCCTACCTTAGCGATGAAACATCTGCGACAGTTTTCTCAATAGTTTCCACACAAACAAAATTATAAACTGCGTAAATAAACGAGATATGGTGAAGTGTGAAAAGTGTCATTTTTAATTTCTTAACCGAAAAGATAAAACCTGGGGTTCGATTTTTCAAAACTTACCACTATTAAAAGAGGAAACGTGTTCTTAATGACTATATCTAGTGCAAGTTACCGTAGTATTCGAAATAGAACCGCAAGAGAGAGTCAAATTCGCATGGAGCCAATTGTACAATTTGTTAACTTAACACTCGGGTGTACGCAAAAAAAGAAATAAGCAAAAGTTAAAACACCAAAGTGTGAGCAAGCGGCTTAGAGTCAAGCAGAGTACACCATTCGCCAAGATTTTATTGGCTCACTCTTTGTTTATCGATGCTAATTTGAACACTGGTTCATGCAAATAAGAGGTGATTTAGGCAAACCGAATCTCAACATTAATTTCACATGGATAGGGGGGCAAGACAAGAGAGATAAGACAAGAGACAAGGAAGATCGCCAAGAAGGAACACTATCCTCGGATGTGTTTAGTGATCGTACGATTCAGGTTAAGATTATCCAACCAATGGCTTGCAACGCTTACCTGGAGCTTATACAAGGTACGGAACGGACTCGATTTCAGTAGGTTGGATGGACTGCAAAACAGACTTTGCTGCAGGTGATTACCAGAGAGGGAGATTGAAGCGGACTTGTACGTAGGCAAGGTGGCCAGCAAGAGACGTACGGGATGAATTAGACTGAAGGACGGTAGAAGACTTGGCCCGATGGGTTGTATAGTGACCGAACTGCGTAATTTCTTATGCTCGGTCGAGGAACTCCTCGAAGTCGGAAGCGATAGTGTCAACTCCGATTCAGCCAAGTTTATAAGTAACTCGTAAACGCCAGCGTCCTCACCCAAGTATATGCTGGGCAGGCTATGACCTGGCACTGTTGCGGGTGCGAGACCTGTAATGGCGGTCAGGTCCGTGGAAGACATGGCAGCTACGCTGGAACTAGGAAGTAGTGAAGAGCTCAAACTTGTCAGTGATGGGCCGCGAGGGACAGAAAGTGCAGTAGACAAACTGTTGGTAGATGAGCCCAAATTGGTTGCCACTGAGCTGGACTCCTTCGACTTTCGAAGAGATAATGCGGACATGAAAGTGTCTGCCATGTGGCTGATCGGATGACGAGAACGCTGTGTTGGCGCCGTGGCATTTAGGGCGGCACTGGCTCGATTGACTAAATCGGCGTCCGACGGATTCCTTGAGACGAAAGAAGTTACACTCGGGCCTGCAGAGCCCAATGAAAGCATTAATGATGAAGCCCCCATATGTGAGGCGACGCTGATTCTCCCAGCACGGCTGTTGACACGACTACCAAGGCCATAAACGAGTCGAACCGTTAGCACGCGTCCAGTCTGCGATAAACAATAAATGACAGTGAGAAACGAAAGAAAGTGGCAGTAATGACATCCTACCGAATAGAGAACCTCAGAGATAGGCAGAAAAGTGCATAAGGGTGTGGTAAACTAAGGTTTATAAAAAGCCGTTCCTTGGTCTAGGCCAACATTATGCCAAAATGGTTGGTTTGCCGAACAACATCCTCGTGGTGCCAGCTGGGTGGTTCGGGATTTTCCCGTTCCAGCAAATGCTTCGGCGGCAGTGTTCCACGACGTGGTGGGTCTTCGCCTGGCAAGCGTTCTCCCCATAAAAAACCACATATGTCCGTTTAACAACACTGTGACGTGGCGGACGTGACACGCCACTAAATAAAGTCACTGCCCCTTGCTTCATCCTGGTGAAGCATTGTATTCCAGCAAGTTTATGCTGTAATTTGGGAAGCATTGGGCCCCTGTTTAACAAAGGAACAAACGAAAGGCGTATGAACTGAGCAATCAGTCACCGGCTCCCAATGGGCGCGATTCCCTGAATTCGCTTCGGTGCCTTGCAGGCAGGCTATTCAGCCAAAAGGCTCGGGGTGGTGTCCCCTAAGTCAACACCCTACTTCGGCTTGGGCAACCGGGTAGTATCCCGCCCTCTGACGAAACCATGGACGTTAATGTGTTGTGTTGTGTTTTCTTTTACTATTTCTGTACCTTGTTTTGAGCTCCATGGTTTCCGATGGTTCAATGTATATATATAATATACATGCCAAAATCGAAAATACATTGGATAAATGGCGAAGTGCGCAAGTTCGGAAAATGTTAAGAAACCACAACGGAAACGCTCGACGATAGGTATCATATGGTCGGTGGATATACTAAGTGCCGACCGAGAATGCCGATAAAAGGTTTCCGAAAGAACGACTTTGATATTCTGTAGCGCTCTTTAATGTTAGAAAGGAGAAATCAATCAACTAGGACATGAGAAGCAATAAGATGTCGCCCCAAACACATAGAAGTCGAATATAGCGTACACTAGCCAAATAAAAGTCCGCGATGGTTAAATCTCACGTATCTAATGTGAAACTCGAACGCAACGACCTCAGATGTAATTCTTTTATCGAATATGGTGGTCGCATGCAGTTGATTGATGGATCCTTCGATCAGTTAGGGAGCCAGGTAAGTAATCAATACTTTGGGCAAACTATCAGGCGAGGAAGACAAGAATGCGATGAGAGCTAAGTCAATAGACTGAAAATCATGCACATCAAGAGCAAAGAGGCAAACCAAAAGTCACAAAATGCTCACTTCAAACCCAATATCTCCGACGGTTTTACGATTTTGCACTGCTTCCAGGAGGAGCTTCGAGTGCGACCTTTCGCCCAGTGGGCACTTGTCGTCCACTGCAGCGCTTGCAGCCTCGAAGGGAGAGTACGGCTCTGATTTATCAGGTTTTTCTCCAGGTGCACAAACGAGTCCATTCGCATGGAAATGTGACGGCCCCAGGTAAAGCGCAGAGGTAGTCCAGTTAGTACATTCAGCGCTTGAACCAGCACCGCACTGATCCTGTGAAGTGCGATTCGCAAACAGAAGAGCGGTTGCAATCAGGTTCGCTCGTTCACGAACGGAGCCGAGCATTTCATTGGAGTGGATTAAAAGCGGTACTGTGTGTGATGACGACGAAGAGTCCAAGATTCCACCACCGACTGGAGCCGGACCGATGAACGGTGCGAAAGTGGAGCGGGATTTCAGTCTTCCATCTGTGGAGGTCACCGGTACCGGATTGATTTGACCCGGTTTGAGAGTCTCCACTTGAAGCGGTAGCTGCATCTCCCAACCACGATACGTGGCACCATGTGGACGCCAGTTGGAGTGCTGGGATCGAGCTCCGAATAATTCGTCCTGAACCATGAGAAGAAACCGCTGTCGAATTAGGTCAATCGTAACTACTCAAGAAAGAACTTCGCTGTCAAAAAGCAATTCGTGTGGGTAGTAGTTCGTAGGCACAGGTAAAGTAAACGGCTGATATAGTGTTCACCGGTTAGTACCCAGGCACAGCTGGGTAACTAGAGATGTACCATACACTAAACACAGCTGGACAGACGAAAGGTGCCAGATCGATCCACTGGTCGATTCCAACAACGTGATAAGAATACGAACCAAAATATTCACATAGATGATGGTGTAATTTAATAAGATGAAGCCCAGGAAAATGTGCTGTCATCGTTCGGTATCCGGTCGATAAATGCCCAAGTTCGTGTAAGTACCAAGATAAAAGGTCGTGCATACACCCCGGTATCATCCTCTGGCGACGGGTTCGTACAGTGGATCACATGAATTCCCATCGAGGAGAGTAGGTCGGTTCGGTGAGACAATCTTAGTAGAAAGCGAGTGCTAATCGATGCAGCTTGGTAAACTGTGTGTCATACACCAAGCAAATCTCGGTCCTACCCATGTATTTATCAGAAACCGTTCAGAAGTGATGGTGAGACATGGAATGAGGTAAAAATCTGCGTACCCCTGAGGAAAGGAGCGACAATGGGTGTTCGAACTTCTTGGTTCCACGTGAAACAAATCGCGATTCGGAACAGATAGTGGTAACTCCAGTCGACTAGTCCTGCTAAATGCTAGCAGATTTGGTCTTATCCACTAATGAACCATCGATCGGAGTAGCTGGAATGAGTCGGCACTAGGAAAGGAGGCGTAACATACATGAGGGTGGGCAACGAGTAGTTACAACTGCGTGCAACCGCTCCTTCTCTGGAAACATAATCTCAAATGTAGACGTAGCCACGTGCGAAAAGTGGGATTCTGAAACCATTACATATTTCTTTATGAAACAACACAGAAGTAAAGCATTATGAACATCTTTGCGTACGCTGATGTGTAATTTTGACAAGTAAATGTTCATGTTGCAATGCTTGAGTAATTCGTTCTTCAGTAACTGGGGTTCTAAATGGTTTCGGGGCTCACTTGTTGCGCTGTTTGCCGTGCATTCTCTATAAGAATTGTAGTTTTGTACTTGGATTCCAATACCATTTATACTGCAAAAATATACTCTATTTAGCAACTGGATTCACTTAACACCTTTCTAGTCTCATCAGCCCATTCGGGAGGAAAACGGTGATAGTTAGAATCGCCGTCGAGGTTGAACGACTAAAACTGTTGGTATTCTGAACATCGTAGGCTCAACAAAATGGCGGACGATCAGGTAATCACTTGCACTAAGAATGGTCGTGAAGTGAGAAGCAGAGGCTTGGTAGTGAGAGACGGTCGGAGGCGCGTTTTCATTGGTCAAGCTGCGACGCCTCTGATTGGCCCACTGTAACGTAAAATTAAAAGTGTTTTTCCGGCGAAAAAAGGGTGTTATTTCTATGTCAGCCCTATCCTCGCCTCAGAAAGGCTAGGAGCTTGACATGCAAAAAACAGGTAGTGTGTTACCAGGGCTACATCAAATGACATTGTGAGACAGCGGAGCGTAACCATTTGAAAGAGAAGCAGCTGTAACACATCTCAGAGTGGAAATGAGGAGAAAGTGAATGTGACAGAGATTAGGCACACCTCGACCGTTTGTATGTAAGCGTACACCAGGCCCAGCAGTCGACGCAAAGCCAATCGAGCTGCGGTCTGACTACAATGGGTTGCGCGACGGGCTTGTCCGGGGCCAACGACCATAGCTGCCAATAACCGCCCAGTATCAGCCAGCGCGGATTGGATGCCACGTTCTGGAGCAGGACCTCGGCCGACTGCCAAGTTGCACTGATAAAAAAGTGAGTGTGTACAAAGAAGAGGGGGTTTAACGTCGAACGAAGTGGAAACAAAACTTTGGGCATTTAACCATATATATATATATATATATATATATTCCGCTGTGTTCGCATGCCAATTCGATCTGCTTGCTAATTAATGAATCGTATCGGTCGTTGTTTGTGACTCGGGGAATATTTAAAGTTATATATATATATATATATATATATATATATATAAATATATATATATATATATATAAATATTCCCCGAATCACAAACAACGACCGATACGATTCACTGATTAGCAAGCAGATCGAATTGGCATGCGAACACAGCGGAATGTTATGCTACGGAGAAGGACAGCTCCCAATTAATTTCCAATGTCTGACAAGTTTAAGTGTTCAGAGTAACGGTGAATTTTGATATCATGGTCAAAAATAGAACGAGATATACGCATATCATTGGGATGTAACAGCGCACATCAAATGCGCATTAGATTTTCGACATAAGCTAGTGTTGTCATCAATTGGATAGGGAATAAGGGTTGCGCAGGAGAAAACAAATGCGAATCATGAAACGAAACACGAAGATATTGTGAAAAAAATCTCAAACAAAATTGTCCAACAAAGAGTGAATCGCTCGGAAACAATGAGGAAACAAATCGAGCAGACATCAATCAAAAGCTGGGACAAAACCTTCGGACGAAACCAAATGCATAAGTAACGGAAATTCGTTTTCAGATAAAGTCTAATATGATGAGAAAGGCAAGTGGATAGTGTATCGTACAGTGGAACAGTGAATCAAAGCGGACAATGGAAGTAACGAATACACCAATTCTTCTGAGATGAGCTGGAGTTGGTTCAATTTATGGAAGTGAACGCAACCTAGCAGTTAAAAACTACCACTTTGCACATTTCGTCAGGCACGAAATGGCCAAACGGGTTTCAAATCCTATCGATGCAAGCGGAGATGGAGTCCAGGTGAGTGGAGTAAGATAGGCATTTCAGAGTTAATTCGTCGCAGTCAGCAGGCTTTGACATGACTGCGACATTACGGGTCGAGCTAGTGGTGCGCCTTCCCCGGACCCCTGCCGGGTTCCGACCCCATGACTTCCAAATGCTAGCAGATTGTGCCACTGAGCCATGGGTGAAGGCCGCGGAACAGCATAATTGACAGTTGACTATGGTATAGCCAGCTCATCCTCCACCGCCAGGCCAGTTACGAACTGTGCAGAGGAGAGTAATTGGCCCCACGACTTTTTGCATAGCGACTGTGTACGACACAGCACTTAGAAGCTATACGGACGGATTATAATGAGCAGTAATAAGATGAACGTGTAAAGGTCAGAAATCAGAATGATGTCCACCTGGCAGCTAAGTAACAGTGGTTGTTACGGTTTTCTTGAGATCGGATACCATGTAGACGCAAGCATTTATGCGGCACTCGGCGTCTTGCCACGAAATTGGCACACGAAAGCCTCAAGATACTGCCGCATGACCGAGGTGACACATCACTGATGCTCAACATAAATGAGAAGTAATCTTTCCCTCTACGTCCCAAAATAACATCATGATCTTAAGTGGCAGAAATTGTGGCGAAGCGGCTCCATAAATCAGAGATACAACCAGTAGTACAGCGCGGGGAGATTGGGTTTAAAAGGTGTGCGAACTAATCTAGCTATAGAGTAAGAAAAACAGTGAAGCGGAACAAGAGCAGCAAGAAAGATGTATCACCGATGTCGCCTAACTTGCAAATAATAGCCAGTCGTTTGTGATCTTGTGGTTGTGACGCGTTGGCTTTATATGTCCGTTTAGGTAACTTTGGTAAAAGGCTAGGCGCCTCTCACTTCTAGCTCTCTGGTTCATTAGGGTTCTGTACTGCAGTGAGGCGTCAGCGCCAAGTACTAGTGCGGTGAACAGCATTCGTTAGAAGTCGCGCAGATATTCAGATGCCTACGTAGCTATAGTGCCTATGGAACAGAGATGAGATCACAAAGTGTATAGCAAAAGCACGAAGTGCTTTTGTCAATCTTCGCCACGTGTGGAGCCGACGTGGAATCAACACCACCCGGAAGAATAGGGTTTATGATGCTATCGTGCGTTTAACGCTCATGTAGGGTTGTGAAACCTAGTACATCAGATCGACTGATAAAAAGAGGCCTGTAACATTCGACAATTGATACCTTCGCAGTTAGCTCGTGTGGTGGGATAATCACGTGAGCGACCACTGTGCTTGCCGCCTTCTTATTTTTGGTCTAGTTACTTCAAGCACCAAGCTTCGGTGGTTGGATAATGTGCTATGCAAGGCAGAACATTCGCGATGCGCAGTGTTTGCGCGACCAGGAACTGGACGGAAGAAGAGAAGAGAAACCAGCAGATGGATTTGTCAAGGGGAATGAATACTCTCAGTCCGAAGTGGATCGCATTCAGTGCCTTCGGATCAACGAGTTGGGGTCCGAAAGAAAGTGAATACGTTTGCATGGAGACATTAGTCGATATGGCTTAAAGTCGACCTCAGTGGCGTTTGTGTTGCGAGGTTCGTTACCTCTCCTCATATGGCCTAGACTCCTTCTACAACCACGGTTTCATTCTGGGTATACCACAAGGCAAAGGATAGTATCTGTGTTTGTTAACAACAAGTTCGTTCTATTCTCACAACTAACCAAAAAATAGCTGTGCTGTGGCGCAAGAGCTAAAGTGTTTCTGACGTATATCTGACATTTAGAATGACAACAAGGAGCTAAACGATTGAACAGGAAGACACTGAATCAAATACAACATGGTGACACTGAAACCTAGAAAGTTTTTACTGTATGGAGCCAACTTCGAGACACACCGCATTTTAAGCTTACAACCGAAGTGATTACACGGCTAAACAATGTTCTTGTTCTGGTACGCATCGTAGAAGTGTGAGGAAAATGTGTGAAAAATAAATTAAAAGACTGGTATCGTGAAAGTAAAAGTTGGAACGATGAACATAGTTTACGGAGTACTTCAGCCGGGGGACCTAGCTTTTAATGTTGCTTTATCCTGTGAATGATGATTGGATGACATACAATTTAAAGACAACACGGTAGTATGAGTTGGGGGCTCAGCGCAGATGGGTGAGTAACAGTGCCGAATTACACGTTGACGTACTTCCAAGCGTCTGCGGCAGGAGTCGAAGAATCTGCGATAACAGCCCTCAGGATCACGTCTCAGGCGAGGTGCAAGTTGCCCCCAGTGCACATCTAGCAACAACTGACGTGCCAACTGGACTGCGTTAGGCTCCACACCCCCGGTGGGATATTCCGAAGGATCGGTTTGATTGGTCGATACAACCGTCCCACCTGCGGTAGGACGCTCCGCAGCACCGTTTGTAAGAGCACGTGCGTCAATAGGAGAGCCGAAGTGCCTGTGGTCGGCTACCCTTTGTGCAGCAGTTGACCCAGGGTTCATGTGTACACCGTCCAAACTCGCATCGGACGATGGTAGCGCCAAGTAAAGATCCCATAGGAAATCCAAACCGATCAAATCAGGCTTTTCCACGTGCTAAAATGGATTGTGAACAACTGATGACGTTAATAGGATTAAGAAAACTGCGAACCACACCAGCACATTAGCATACGACACAGTCACAGGATAGCATCTAGTGTAGGCAAGGCTGCTTAATTTTGGCAAAATTGGTTAGGCATCACTTTAAAGGGTTCTTGTGACACCATTACGTAGTTAACTGACCAGAGGACGGTAGTGAACTGTCACTTGTCCCGACACCACAAAGAAGCTCAATACGGCTGTAGAAGAAAAAATGGTTCATGAAAGTTGCGACTGTCGGTTTGTGATGCTAGAGGCTACAAGAAAAGAACTAGTTATCAGAGACCAACAGATTCGACAAGGTAGATGTAGCCGCTAGCCCCTAGACTGGCCACAGCTGTGATCCCCACGCAGTAAGACAGCAAGAGAAGGTTTTGCGTGTCTCCTCGGACACTTTTCGTACGAACTTGGGACAACATATCACTTGTTGGTCACTTTGAGGCAAGAAAACAACGTCAAAAGTTGAATACTAGTAGGAAAAAATTAGAGAACATATGACAGACCAAAAAGGGAACTGATGTAAGAAAAACAATACAGTGCAGACGTATTCACTGGTACGATTGAAAAGGTAGAAGGGAAAATCACCAAGTCAGCCACGATATGTTGATGAGATTGTGGTTGGCCAAAAGTAGGTGCTACTGCGCCAAATGTCACTGGTATAGAAGTACCAAGAAAACCATATGATAACGGGCTAAAAGCGGGCAAAATCAACACCTCAACAGAAGAAGAACGCTTGGGACTCGCAGATATATGTGTTCTAGGAATAGATGCAGAACTAGTGTGTGTTTCTCAATCTCCAGGAGGGAGTTGGAAGATGACTGCGACAGCTGACGGTCAGAGCGGATGCATATGCTTGATGATTTTGCCACAATAAATAGCTCCGTTCGCAGCGAAAACTCTTGCCATACCGCTCTAACCATGGATTAGTACGAGGACATTGCACGTGCACCCATAGCAATCAGCAGTATTCAGGCAAATCTTAGGGGATCTGTGAAAATGACAGAACACAAAAATCATCTCCCACACATAGACAGATTGCTCACACGAAGACCATACGAATCGACCCAACGATCAGTCTGTCAGTAAGCGAGCTAGACGTATCCGTACTTGCATTCCAAGGGATGTTCGCTAATGCAACACAAGCGCTCATTCGTGCGGACTTCATTCCATCTGACGCATATGGTTTGCAGCCGAGACACAGTGAAACCGTCCGACCCACTACAATTCCACAGCCTACCGTTCCAATTCATAAAGTGCTTCAGTGAGAAGCCCATGCAAGGTCGAATGGCGGCGGTTCAAAAGAAGTCGGTGTTCGTAGAGTTGCCGTCCAAAAGCGATCATAGCATGAAGTCAGTGCGAAACGAATGAGCAGCCCATTTAAAAGGTTACTCAATGTAGATGGTGGTTATGAAGTGGCTTAGTTGTGAAAAGTCTCGCAATGGAACGAACTGAAGACGATTTTGAAACGAATTTTTTCCTCTTAACATCACACTGTTTTCCACTAACTGTACGTAAACAGCTGATGAGAATACGTGAAATTGCTGAATTCAGTAAATTCTGTTAAAATGTTGTTTCTTCTTGCTTTATTGAAACGAATTGTGGTTCTTAGCCTTCAAACTCAAGCATGCTAAAAGATGAGCATGTAGTTGGTGAAGAAGGTTTTAGTCGCAGCACAAATTCGACAACGGTGACAATTTCTCCGAAGCAAGGTGCTCCTATGAGTAAGACCATGACTGAAAGTGTAAACGCCTCCAGTCCACATTAACAGTCAGGCGGACACCGGAAAAAGCGGGGGCAATGAGTGCCGCCAAAGTTACTGTGAGGGCATACGCAACAAGTATTTGATTTACCTGGCCTATGGGTGACGGGTTGGCTGGGTGTCATACGAGATTGAGGCTGTGTGACTGAGAAGCGCGCCGACGCAATCGCAAAATTCCGTTCATGTTCCAACAGTAATACCCAAATGCAACAAACATCTTTCAAAGTACAGGGTGAGGAAGAGCAACTAAAACGATCGAGTTTTAAAAGGTGTGAGAAAGTGAGACCTTGCGAGCGTGAACCTGGGTACAAGAATCAGAAGAAACTGTTCCAGCTAAAGGATCTGACAGAACAGCGCCAGCGCTTTTGACCAACAGCGTCGTCGTAATGTGGAAAATTCTTGTTGCCCGAGAAACTCACCCATGTTTTGGTCACCTGTTTCATGCGTCCCTCATGTAAATTCACTTTTTCAAACAATGCTTTGAAGAACTCGAAGCCTGGAAGTGTACAAGTAGGTGATGGAGATGTAGGGTGGAGAATAACACTTGTAGTTTTGGAATGAAATCTAAAAAGCAGCCTAATTAGCATTAGAAGTCAACCAGGGTAGAGAAAGGAATGCGACGGGCGTAAATGTTTGTGGTAGCTTAACACTGTTGGGGACCGAGTACAGAATAGCCAAATTTCGAAGAACAATAATCGAAGCCGAGGCATAAGTACAACCATCCATACACCTAAGCTGATGGTGAGAAACATTCAGATATATGAAAAAGCGGGAAACAAAAGATTACAGAATACAAGATGAAAACAAACATAGTACTAATATGCTTGGTACCATTAAGCATCGGCTGTGAGAACGAAGCTGGATGGTGGAGGCTAAACGGGGCTGGGAAAGACAAAGAAAATCACAACACCAACACCAGTAAGATAGCCTATTCAGCATGTCAACAAGTGTATCCAAACAGCCGGGCTATGTTTGAAGTGAGGGACCTCATACTTCTTGCACAAGTCATCGCTTGGCCTCCCCGCCTCCACTTCCACCCACACCCCGTTGCGCGAACAATGCACGCCGCGGGAGTCGGTGTGCTGGCATGCGCAACACGTAGCCTAGCCATCGGAGGCTGGTGCGTGATATAAAGGTGCTGAGCGATTCACTCGTTCTTCTTGTACCAAATACGCGACGCTGAACACGCTCATTGCTCACGCGGTTTTCTCACCTGATGCGAGCTAAGCTGCAAAGGCAGCGATGGTCTGTCGACCGGATAGGCCAGGTTACGTAGCCGTACAGAACGCACGGCACACTCATGTTGATTAGCTTAGGCACGCGTCACTGAACGTTATTCCAATAACAATTTCAACAATTCCATGGATCTGCTATCGGATTCCGACTGTCGCGGAGTGGTGGTATACAGTACCTAGATGATTGGTTGTCCACATTTCAAGCCGTGGAGTAAGATTTGGCTGAAGCGAAAACGATGCGACAAAGAACAAAAAAGCGTTTTAGCGTTCCTTGCGGTACAAATAATCTAGACATTGCACGATAACCTGCTGCGCTTGAAATGTACATATGTGTACATATATCCTCGCCATGAGGAAAAGGATATCCCGTCAGCAGAGGAAAAATCCGAGTGTCCGACAACAAGAGCACACTTTTGGGTGTGCAAACGTTGGGAAATTGACCTCAGAAGGAGAGTGAACCATACACGAAGCAAACAGAGAGTTATGGAAACGAATTAACGTGGTCAGCCGAGGACATCCCCAATCGATAAGCCGAAAACTAAGGTCACATGCATAAAGAGTGCGGAACAGATGTTGGTTCGCAGTGACTTGTGGGTGGGATACGGAATGGCAGTCAGCTTAAACCGATAAAGGTAGCCTGAAAAAGAATCATTTACTCTGCTACAAAAAGAGAAAATGTTCGGGTTCATGATCTAAGCTCACGGATGAGAGGTACACTCAAAAAATGAAAGAAATCAAGGAGAACAGGAGTATCCGATTAAACACTAACCGGCATACGATCGAAATAGGGCAGGGTTTGATTTCAGCACCATTTTCGTGAACAACATCGTTTGAGTCTCCGGCTCCAGGTGGTTGAGACTGACGGTAAACCACCTAAAACATTGCTGAAAGAAAATAGGTTGGATAATACATAAAGCGAAATCAATGGTATACATGTGCATTGCCGAAAACAGAGTAAAAGGCTGCGAAATCTTGGATAGTGATATGTTACAAAATAGGCGTACGAGTAATAACTAGTATGGGTTAAGCATACTGAGCGACTCTCAGTGGCAAAAAATAAAAATTTAGAGGGATAACCAAGTTTGTGCTATGAAGTGGGGAGACTGCATTCAGAACCGCGGCACGTGAATTTTGATCAAGTCATTGGATATGGACGGCACTGAGAATAATGATGTATGTTAACCACTTCTTGTATGCACACGTGGATACTGACCAGTACTCCACATGAGCGTAGTCTAGACATGTTCACATTCAAATCACGTGCTGTCCCTGATGCTTTCATCTACACCTGTTTTCTTGTCTATCCTCGTCGATTTGGCATACTTCCAGACGTATTCTGTAGCCATAGTGACGGTTAGCCCCAACGGAACATAGTCGATCCATCAAACCGATAGAATTTAGGAGACGACCGTTGGTTGGTTTGGTCATTTCGCCTTCAGTGCTACTCTAGCAACCAACCCAACGAGAGGGGGAATCCATGCGAGCGTAAGGAGGAAATAGTCCCTGTGCGAGTAGTATTCAAATCAACCATTGGGTATAACGCATTAGACACTGACGGAGGCCAAGTGGTAGTCTCAACCTTACCGAAAGGAAAGTAAATTCTAGAGAGATAGTCAACTGACGGATGTGGGGCAGATAAACTTATCCGGCATGCTAATGGAACAATAGTGCAGGGACAGTAGTGCTAGGACAAACGCATGTGCATATGTCGTATCCGAACTATCCTTGGACACGGATGCCGCAAATCCAGGTAGATATGCATACCGAATGAATTCGAGGAGGATACTCATACAGCTTTTGTACGTCCAACTTAATGCATGGAAGCGGCACTGGAACAAACTGAAGCTAACATTCCCAAGACATGAAGAAGGTGAGATCATGATGAACTAATGTTCATTTCAGGTGTTGCAAAACCAAGGTAAAGTTGATCGGTGCGAATTCCGTGGAACGGTCACGAGGGCGGTTGCAAAGGTGCAGGAGAAGGCACAACTGCACGCGGAACAGAAGCATGATGCGTATGCTCCCATTCGATTTACTAATCCAGGCCAATAAGGCGGCGTATGTGGTACGTATGCCTGCTTGCTGAGTAATCTTGTATTTCAGAAGTAGATGTTGTTTGAGCTCCCCAGTGTGGATGCGCTTGATGTGAAACTTGACAAGGCGCCTACCTGTCTATTACCCACTACCACGTACATACTGACTCCAGGAGACAGTTGGTCGTTGCTGGTGGGGACGGAGTGCACCGTCCTCGTGACGGTGCTAGGCTCAAAGAGTGGTTCCATCCTGTGTGGAACGGGCTACGGTTCAGCCACCGCCATGTGTACGTCTGGTGTGCATGATTTCCCAATTAGGCCTGGATGTCTCTGTTCTGCTTGGTGAAGGAGTGTGGGTCGGCTCCGTTGATGAAACGTGGCTCACATCACCATACCTCCCGGTTTAATTCCTTCGGGTTTACACTGGATATGGGGTGTGTGGGTGGAACTGTGGGTGGTGCAGTGTAAGCCACTCATGGTTCCCTTTGTAGGCGCAGGCGTCCTGTGACCGTCCCCGTTGAGGTCATAGTGACAGGCAAATCCGGATACGGATGCCGCCAATCCAATGGGACACATTAGAGGACACGCGTGCACAAATTACCTTAGGCGAACTAGGTATCGATTACCAATGAATAAAACAACTTGACCTTGTGTCCAAGAGCTTGTGACCAGGTTTAGAAGTAGGACGATCATAATGCGGCGTATTTCTTATGAAGTGCTCATAGTTCTAGCTGTAACGTACATTTCGTTCAATCGCCATCACTATTCACCTGGTCTGGTAGTATTTCCTTAGTTCCCCCAGTCCCCATTGCTGAATTCACAATTGCAGTTGCGAACGTGTTGACTTCTCGGTTCCCGTCCGTATTCGCTTGTTGTTTCCTGACCAGAAGTTCTAGTTGCATCCTCTTGTAACGCTGCCCTTGCCACTACTCTCTGTGCTCCAACCTAGCCGGGGACGAAAACAGAACACCGAAGCCTGCTAGGCCGAAGTGTATTAGGAACAGAACACCGATCATTTTAAAGGTCACATGCTCTTACTTCACCCGTCTGTCACCGAGGTGATTCACCTCTCTTCTTTGACCAGATTCGACCATGGTAGCGGCCTTCACTGTCTCACTTTAGGCACAATCACGTCCGTATCACAACCCATGCGAAGATGATGAATTGGCTACGACGACTGTTCTGGATGGCGCGGCAACCTATGTCGTGAGTTGCGGACTGAGTGCGTCATCTACCCGTGTGATCTACCGCATGCCCGACTAGTGTCCCGAAAACGCGTCGCGGCAATCATCCCAATTACATCCACTCCACCACAAACACATAATTCAACATTTTTGTTTCACACCTTACTGCTGTCTCTCGTTTGGAGTCCAGCTCCCGTATTGATCTCACGGCTCACGTTTCACTTTCGAATGATGACCCATAATGACCCACCTGCTCGCCAATTACCCTGTTCGCTAACGTCTTTATCATCGTTTAGGTCAGACGATGTCTACGTCCCATGTTCCCTAAACAGTGGCGTAGTAACTACTTTTGCCGCCCGGAGCGGTGGTAATAATTTTGCTCACACTGGCAGTTATAAATCCGTAAACCATCGACGAAATGGATGATCGTTTGGGACAAAGAGGTAAATTTGGTGAAAGGGACCACAATGGGACAATTAAGGGGATCACTGGACTGACTGTTTGCACTGGTGTGACACATGGCGCAAATGTGTTGTTGGTCACACAGAGTAACAATAAACGTCAACCCTCAGCTTATCAGGATGTTTTGCCCTTTATATTTGGTATCGAACAAGCGATGGTACTGTAAATGCGGCCTCCTGTCACATGCTACTCAGGGTGGACAGCCTCTCCTGCCTCCCATGCTACGCCTTGGCCCTTCAACAGACTCTTTAGCCTTGTGTGATCTGACCCCTGGCTGTTTGTTTCTGATTGGGTCAACATGTATCAGGATGTACGCGAGCATTGGCGCCAATTCATTGTGCTGTCTTTGTACAACCGGATCGTTGCGTATTGGCTTAACGAGTAGCTGTGTGGACCTATTTTATGGAGGATATTGTTGCAGCATGTTGTGATTATATTATTTTATTGTTCCACACTGACTGCGAGTTCTCCTTTGTCCGGTGGTTGTATACCACTTCCGGTTCTTTGTCCGCTATTGAATCCGTCTCCGAGGTCGCGGATCGGTGGCCCACATGCTGTCCAGCTATTATCCAAAACGGTTTTGATGCTTACACCGGAAATGTGGCGCAGACTCTAACTGAGCCCGTCCCTTTGGCAAGCTCAGCAACACTGTCACCATTCGGCGACTCAAAATGAGCAGTTCCCCCAGAAGCACCCTCTTCAGAAGCACCGCTCTTTGGTGTCAACACAAACCGGGTAGATTCCCTGGCGGCATAAAATGTGTCCAACTGTCTCAAGCCGCAATGACCTGATTCGAGCCGTAACTGTTGCCATCTCAAGTAACACTGATCACAATTTAGCTATCACCAGAACACCAAAACGTGGTAACTCATGTGCGCTTTGCCATTAACCCCTTTCCCTTGTAGTTTGTTTATAACCCTACTGTACCAATCAGCTACACATGGGAAAGCATGGATTGCCTTTGACTGGCTCAGTAAAGGAACTTTTGCTAGCAGGTAGCCTTTCTTTTCCGGATCTCGGTGCAACCGTGCGAAGTTACGTGTTTCGTCCCCATTCTCAGCTCGTGTGCACACACGTCTGGAGGCTAGATCCTTTAAGCCGTGTGAAGCAGAATTCGTCTGGTCACTCTGTGCCTGAGAGCGTTTCATCCGTTCCGAATGGGAGAGTCGAGATAAACAGGGCGTATTTCTTGCAAACCAGCCAGTTTAACTCGGAGTATCGAAGTGTGGTGGGTTAAGTTGCCACGACTCATCGTCAGGCAGCAGTGATGACGGAGGTAAAGCACAAGCGGAGTGTAAAAAAAGAGAGCAGGAAGGTCACCAACTAACTGCAAGAGGTTGAACGCAGAAGTGGAAAGAGTTCCACATCCAACCGATAAAGCATCTAGTTCATAACTAAGTGGCTTATTTCTCGACAGGCTACGGATAACTCCGGGCATGGCATGAGAACGAGAGTTAGCATTCGCACGCGTTTCGTGTTATCTCGCTCACTGAATTACCGACAATCAGAAAGCATGCCTAAAAGTGAGTGTGGCCAGACCGACCTCAGACAGAAAATGATTGACGGTCGGAATGTTATGGTATTCACAGGATGGGAAAAAATAATTCGTAGCACAGAAATTGTGATGGATCAGGTAAAGCTGCCGTGACCGATTCAGTGAAATGCAGAAAGTAGAGACAGACAAAATGTAATCAATTACTGAGTGGTGAAAAGGACTAGTTGTATAGGAAGTAGACGCTTATCAATCGTGCAAAACGATGATGGTGAGAAACAAGCGTTGGCAAAGATGCTTCTGTTCGCGAAATCAGTATGTCGACAATGTAGAATGTATGACTGGTCCCATAGGCACACACGGAATGAGCGAAATCAAAACGCACAGTTAAAAAACCGACTATAGAGGAGTAGTCACAGACGTAAGACAAAAGGCCGCGTGCAATCTTTTCCTTTAGTGAGTAGATATGGCAGATATGTAGGATAGTCAGGTGATCGTAGGCCGCTTCCATCAAAATTCCGTGGAAGTAAGACGAACGTGCGTGAAGTTAGCCTAATTCACACAGGCGAGATCACACCGTAAATTTATCAATTCGACAGCTCTGGACAACAGAGGTGCGAATGGTGCCGTGTAGACAGAGTTGGAGACAGATTAATGTTTCAGAGTCCAAGGAAAAATAAAAACCACCTTAAAGAGGTAGAGGTGCGAACAATGAGCGTGAAAGTTGCGGATGGACAAGTGAAACGGAAGGTACCTCTAGTGTTGGTTGCCCTAACAACGGCTAGCTTTCAGTGAATGCAGAAGCTGCAGTACGGAGCAGATTCCTTTAGAATATAAATGGACAAATAGATCCCATGGGATTAGATACGACAGTTCGTTAGTCACTAGTAGTCTGGCAACTTGATCAAAATGTGATTGCGATGAGGAGGAACTTCGTTGTACATCAAAACCTAGGAAGGAGAAAACAGATGCTAAAGCAATTGGAATGGCGGCGGATGAACACAAGAAGTCTCACTCAGTACAATTCTAACCCTCACGTTCCTAAACAAGCGGAGATAGACGTAGAGAACTCCTCTTAGCATATGAATGCGACAAAGGCAAACCACTGGATAAGCACGCACGTGGGGTACGGCCGGGCTGTTGCAGAATTCCGCTGGACGTTCTTTGTTGAAATGGCAACACAAATAACATCCAGAAGGAATGCTATGGTTGTGCTCAGACTGCAGTCAAAATGTGCCTTGAAATGGTGCACTGTACATCGAAACCGAATTAAATACCTCATATAATTGTAGCATTTTGAAAGCGGCCGATAACTGCACCAGATTGAACCTCGAGAATCCCAGAATAGGAGGTATAAAACTAAGTAGATTTCATTATAAATATTATAACCACACAAGCCATCAATAATCATACGGCCACTGCCCCCAGAGAAAAGCTGACCTTCCATTGCGTGAAGAAAAAAGGCGCGTGACTTGTAACCCGAATATCACGGGTTCGAGTCTGTGCTGGTGCCGGTGACCTCGCGGCGAAAGGTTCTGGCAGCGAAGCGTCGGTGCGGTGTGTCGGTGTATTGTTGACGCCTCTCTCATTATCGGAACAAGTCATCAAAACGCGCTTCCTTCGAGATTAGAGAACTGATGATCGCTTAAACGGGGGGTCAGCAGTTAATGTCATTGGATAAACGAGACCAGGTTACACATCCTCTTCCGCAACGTGCCAATGTGTTACGGAAGACAGGAACAAGTTACCTAGTAAGACGCAAAGTTGCGAACATCAGTCATGACTGCGTAGGCTGAGGAAGTCTCCGAGCTGAATGACTGGTTTGAAGATAGCACACAATTTTGTCCTAAGACATTTACGAGTCTCATGTTCGCTTCCAGTCGGAACTCCTTGGCGAACATCGAGGAGATTCAGAGACTGTGTAGAAACTCAATGTCCAACCTGGCAATTTGATTTGCCCCATGAGGATATAACTACGGCTAATAAGGCCTGGCGAATTTTGTACTAATAACCTAGACCAGCTAAAAGAGGCAATTACAACGGAACGAGATGGGGAGTTCACCAGAGGAATGTTTGTTTTCCAGAACGACGAACCGATTCACATGTTCAAAGTTGTGGCTGCCAAATGGAACACACTGTATTTCCAGTCCAACCACCATCCCCCTTACATTTGACTAGACATCTTCGGATTAGTATCTGATCCTAGAATTGCAGAAATAGTTGAAGAATCAACGTTTTGAGATTGCTGAGATCTAACATGCGCCTGACAAATGTTTGGCGGCACAACCACAGAACTTTTCTTTGAGCGGTCTAGAAAGATTGGAACTGCGCTGTAAAGAATGTATCGATCACAGCATGGATTATGTTGAATGAGCATGCCTTTTCATAACTATAGCCCTCTCCTTTCTGGTGAAATCCAAGAGATTGACATCACCCCTACGTATTTCAAATCGGTCCTGATTGCCGGGGAGATATTGTCTGGTTCGCTAAGTGATCATGACGCCGGGGGAAGCACTGGTACAGATGCTATGTGGTGTACAACAGAGTCGACCGACTGTACGCTGACTTCTGTCACCACAAGCACCAAAATAAGAGCTCCACGGACAGAAAAACAAAACAACATACGCTCAGTGAGCAGAGTAAGCGTAAACGACGACAATAATGGGACTATGATCTGTACGATACGGAGGCGACGTAATTGGGATGATCGTGGTACTCAAGGAGCTTTCGAAATCTAGTAGGTTGCCAGAAGGGAAAAGAAGGAAGAAGGATCCTCGACAGTAAGAAGAATTGGCTTTATGAAACATCATCTATGGATTGAAAGCCGAGGAAGTAATAGACCAATAAACAGGCAACAATATGAAAGCTGATCATGTCGAAATTCACATGGTCAGTTGATGTGAGAAACAAAGATGCAGGGAAGAAAGCAGTGAAGATCGCTCCAAGCGTTCACTAACCTCACGATCACAGGCTGTCACATGCGAGTGGGCAATCAGGTTCTCCCATAACGCTTTTGCTCGCTCTACACTCAAACTGATCTCGGCGTTACGCAACAGATAGTGAAGCAGATCAAAGTGTCGCTTGATCACCTGGAGCAAAAGAAATATGCGACAGAGGGGAACACAAGTAAGAAAACTTGAATGTCACTATGATAAGCTCAGGGAACATTTACAACTGGTAGACAATCTCAAATGAACAATAGGCGGTAGCACATAATCCCACTGAGACCGCTAACACAGTGGCATTCTGTGCTTTATTTCAATGGATGACTACCTTGTTTGTGCAAGAAGTCAGAGGACCAGCTTATAATTCGGATAATTAGGATGGTAAAATAATGAGATAATCCTTATAAAAATGTGGTAAACTGGTATAAACTATGAAGGCTCTAGTGTTCTGTGGAAGAATATCAGTTGCAAGTGTTACACTACCACACCGAACCGATGCTTCTCCACTATACAACTATGGTGACCATTTTACATCAAGGCACCTGCACATCTTGCTGACATTACACGGTCAAAAACAGATGGCCATTGAGCGGAGAGGTTGATAGGCAAGATAACTTCCTTGTGACTTCTGCTTTCCGGAGTCATAATCAGTCATTGCTATGCAGATAACTCAACGCCACTGATGCCGAATGCGAACCAGGTGAAGTCAAACACAGGGTTCTTTGCGTGGAAAAATGGAAGGAGGTTTTGAACAAGGACACTGTTGATTTTGTGTTGTTATTACTACACCAAGAGTTGACATCGGCTAGACTGGCCCTAGTAAGGACATAGAGAGAAAATAAACACTTAAAATGAGGACATGAATGATAGCTACTGTGGTAGCCAGCAGTAATCGTTGGAAGCTTAAGATAATGTAATGTACGAAAACCGAGACACACCTCACATAACTTCGCTGGTCCTTTAATGAAGCCAACCTAAGGGCCCAATAAATCACAATCACAAAACACAGATGTAGTGGAAATCCGAGAAATTTAAGCTCGATTTGACTCAGAATCTCCACTTCGGTCGAGTAGGTTCCCAGTGATCAGAACGGCACAAGCTGAATTCAAAGTCAACCGAAGCCACAAATGAGAAAGCGTATCGCAATCCTAAACACACGGAGGATATTTCAAAACCCGACTATCCAGATAACCAGGTTTTACTATGAAATCACCTGTACATACATAGCGGTAGTGCAAGAAGATCGACTTCTTGCTAGATTGCTTGTACCACTCATCATTCCTTCAGTGTCCGAATCTGTCTTCAGTGCTCATACGTATCTGAACTCGATTTAAATTCACCATTCAACCTACTGTACATCAGATTCTGATTGAATAAACTTGTAAAGTGAACGAGCAATGACATCCATGATATCATCACGGAGTTTAAGCAAAACTCGAATTTGGCTACTTCATTAGAAATCCAGGTTCCATTGAAATTATGCTTCCCGTTCATCCTCACCGAATAGGCAGTGTTGAAAACAAGGGTGACGATGAAGCGACAAAGCAATGTGCATTCGAAATCAACGCCTGACCGATAAGTTAGGTATCCACCTTAATTGAAAGAGATGTATACAAATGTTTGAAAATTCCAGAGTGTCCATGCACTCCATTGAGTTTATCGGTGCCCCAGTTTAAAATTTAATGATATTAAGAACGCCACTACCCATTTCTTAGACCTATCAGATGAGCACACCAGCCAACAGATGTTAGTAATATTATTGCAAAACGTTTTACTATCCTAATTTCCACATATGATCGATGGGAACTATCTGATTTCATCCGCCAAGTGAGTCGTCACCACCACGTAGATCCACATTAGTCGGGTATATCAAACACCAACCCTACTAGGGATAAACATTCATTTACCTAAAGCGTGGATTTACTGGCTGAATTGAAAAATTAGGTCGCGTGTCCGATAAAACTGCACAAAGGTTTTGGAACCACGATAACAACAACCATAGCAGATGTCGGTACTCTAAACTAACGAGTAGGTTTCACAATGTCATAGGAACCAAAAAACGGTGGAAAAGTGGACATTTGACATTCCTAGTGTATATACGTCGCTGGCGGCAGCCGGTTCTGGATTTGCTTGTCACTGCGGTCTCCATGGGAACAACCACGATACGCCTGTGCCTGTTGAGGGAGCACCCACAGCTCCATTCACACACCACATATCCAATGTAAACCCGAAGGAATAAGACCGCGATGATGTGGATAGGAGTCACGTTTCATCAAACCAAGTCAGGAGCCGGGTGTCAACAAGTACATATATATATATATATATATATATATATATATATATATATATATATATATATATCAGCCGTAGACTGTAAAATTGACGCAGGGAACCATACAGCACGAAAACTGACAAGACCCCATTCAGTATTTGTCGCTCGACCCACTTCCCTTCCATACTCTGGAAAGTATACCTCACAAACAAACCAATAAGTGTGGGCTGCAAAGGAATTACAAACTAGTTGATCTACGCACTTTCGTTTCACCAGCTAATGCTCTGCTTATTCAACGATATGTGCCTTAAGCTATAGTAAACATATGTGGTAGGACGGAAACATTCATCTTCAATGGAGTTTATCATTCATTTTTCGCGTATTCGGTCTCGTTTCCCTTGTGGTCCTCATGTTGATACGTCAGATTGCAAATTGAAGCTAAACGGCCGTGCTCCTTACATCTTTATTTCCACATTCCATATTGGTTCCCTCCTTATTTTTCCATCGTCTGTGTCTAGCGTATTGTTATACTAATATGTCTGGTCGGGTAATGCTGGCCAAGTTCGCCTCACATATCTCTAACCAATATTCCCTTATAGTTGTCTCGACAGTAATGCATAGCTACCAAAGCGAAAAATATCTTCGTCTATCACTCTTCTTCTCTGGGAAGCTGCATAATCGCTGGTGGGGCTGTTGGAAACGAGATTTCGATGCGCATCTCAAGAGCTCGTCTCGCCTTCTCCAGGCTGAGGCATTTATGGCGTCGCCATGACATCCAACTCTCCATTAAAGGACGGGTTTATAGTGCTACTGTCCGCGCTATATTGTTGGACGGTTGCGAGACTTGGTCTGATCGTACCGATGACCTACGTTGACGATCTGTCTTCGAGAACTGTTGCTTGAGGTCTATCGCCCGTGTGTGGTGGCTGCAACACGTAACCAACGTTGAAGTCAGACAGCGTGTCTTTGGTGGTGAAAGCCACTCCCTCCAAGCGCTTGTCTCGCTGCGCCAACTACGATAGCTTGGACACGTACTGCGTATGCTCGTTCAGGGTCTTCCGCGTCGTGCCTTGTTCGCGGTCGCTGGACAGGGTTGGAGGAGGCCGTGTGGTGTATTGCGTACAACTTGGAGAAGCAGGATGAAAAAGCTGACAAAACAGCTGGCCTCGGTTGGTTCCTCCCGACTCCCTGGATGGGGTCCCAAGGATGCTGAGTGTAGTTGGTTGGAAACCTTGGAAGTCATGGCTCGAAAACGAACTCAGTGGCGGGCGTGTATTTCTGCTTGTTGCGGTGCTTCCCCTTCCCTCCCCCAATAAAAAGACATCCAGAATACTCAAAAACGGTGAGTGAAAAATGGACAAAAATGGTTTGCTTTCTTTCTTCTTTTACTCTAACCCTGTTTTCCTATGCCGCCATGGTTCCGATGGCACAATATCTGTACACAGATTGCGATCAATATATAAAATACGATAGTGAATAGGAAAACATGTCGGTTAAGTTAAATGCTATATTCAATGCGTGCGAAACTGCGCCGTCTTATGTTCATCTTATCACCATACAACTGCTCTTTATCTCCCACTCCAAAGCAATGAAAACTTGGTTCGTTCCGTACACAGAGCTCTCTGTCAGCGCTCTTGATGAATCCACTGCTGTTGTGAAACTTGAACAAGCATCATAAGCACTGGGAAAATAAGTAGGATGTCAAGGAATGTTTGGAACACCGAGCCGGAGAATCATCCCTGATATGCATCCTATTTTCGACCATATCGGAAATGGGGAAACCGAGAGCATATACTAACAGTATTATCAAAAAAATTAAATGAGGTGCTTTTCACGCTTCGCTTAGCCATTTTTGACGGATTAATGGTTGTATCCATAAACAAATAAATGGGTGTATTCCAAGATGTGCGATGTGGGAGGTGCAGCTGTAGAACCGAGCATAAATTCATGCATATCTGCCATTTCGCTCGGATTCGCGTCAAATCCTCAAGTGATTCGAGAGAGCCACGTTGTTCAATCTTGGATCCCAGCCCCGAAGGCACAAGGTAAAGATGGCAACAGCATGGCAACGACAGATCGGTTAATCCGGATCAAGTGTGGCTACGAACGACTGAGAGACTCATGCATGTCAGTCTAGTAGCAGATGCGGTTCATCCAAAGAGTCTCACGAAAACCGCTGCTCCCTCAAGAACGCGTGCAACTCAAGTACCCATACAGAAGAACCGATCGACAACCCAACAGCGAAACCTGAACTACCAGTAATTAGAGCTATTTAGTCATCAAAACTGATACTTCCCACATCTTCCGTGAAGCATCTAGGCGTACTCTCCCGTCGCGATTTCAGGTAAATGAACAACACAAACAATCTACATCGATACGGACTGCAAATTCTCTGCGCGCTCAAACGCAGCTTGTGCATCTGGTCTGAAGAGGTTGTCACTCGCCTCTTCTCTTCCATCATAAGATCAATGGAAGAGTACAGCTAGATCGCTTATTGTCCGATCACATGAGATCAGGCGCAGAAAATCGAACGCCTCCAAAACATCCCTAACAGGCTCATCATCATCTTGCGGGGTTTACCATATGACGACTGCACAAGTGGCCTACCGTCCAGTGCGAGTCGACCTCATCATGACCTGCAAAATTCTGCAACTAGGTGACTTCCTCATGCTGAGACCACTGCTCTACTTGCGAATACCTTGCGGCACAAGCGGACTCCAGTACAAGTTTGTGGTTCCAAATTTGAAGCGTTCCCCCTCCTCTGTCCATTGAATGACGAGTGGTCGATGTTCAGTATTGTTTACCGGAGCATATGATGGAAGCGACGAGTGTAAATGTTGAAACATTGTTGAACGTGCACTTTCTCAATGTTAGATTCTGAGGATGATCGACCACTGATAATGATACCTCACATTTGTGAGTCCCAACTTACTGTGAGTTCTATGTTAATTTTCCAGGATATCATGCGAAAAGATGTGAAACGATCAGTAGGTAGACAGTTCATAGATAGCTTTTTAACGTTTCTGATGCTATTTCGATGAAATTGTATAGATTCAAAATTCCACATGCTCCCCATTTACAGTATTCACTATTCAGTGTTCAGTAATCAATATCGTCATCATGCTGCACGTTAGCTAGACGTAAGAAACACCTCAGCCATTGTGCCGCAATGCATGAGAAAAGAAAAAAGACGCAACACAAGCACGCCAGTTGAGCCAACAGTAACGGATGGACATCGTTCCGGGGAGCTAGCAGCCGGCTATTGTGCCGCAAAAAGGTCATATTATGCGACAGAAATAATATCGTACATAGAGAGAGGCTAAGCGAGGGGGGACAAAGAAACTCACGACACAAATGTCATTGAGGTCAGTTCCAAGCCAAATCAACAAGTATATCCAGCCAACCGTGTTCATGGTCTTTCGGACCTCACCTCGGCAGTTACGAGACAGTAACCGAGACCGACTTCGAAATAAGGGCCCTCATTTGAACATGTTTTCGGTTGGCCGCACTCCCTCTTCTTCTATCCACAACCCGGTCGCGCAAACAACATACGTCGTGGGAGTCGGTGTTCTCGCATGCGCAACACGTGGCCAAGCCATCGGAGACTGGTGCGTGAAATAACGGTGCTAAGCGGTTCTCCACTTCTTCCTGTGCCATAAACAAGGCGCCGAACACATGCAATGTTTACGCCGTCTTCCCACCAGATATGAGCGAAACTGCGAAGGCACAGGTGGTTGAAAGTAACTAGCCACTTTAAGTCTGCCGACCTAATGGGCTAGGTTTCACAACCATACAGTATGGTCGAATGTACGACTACATTGTAAGCTGTGCTCTTCAGGGAGAAAGTGATGTCACGCCGGCGTCATGGGTCGCGAAGGTAAACAAAAGTGCCCCTAGCGTTGGCAGTTTAGGAGTGCAAAGCAAAGCCCGAAACGACCGAGAGTCAGAGCTAATATGTCTAGTGATGCTTGGCACGTTTGTGAACCGTCGCAGATGAAGACAATGTCGTCAGCATACTCCAACTCAAGACGTTATCCACTTGGGAGCAGCTCCACACCTTCTAAGTGGTGTCCAGTGAACGCTAGGCATTAAAATATTAAATACTAGATATCAGTGCGTCTGTTGACTAGTTACGCTTAATCAAACGAGTTGCAGTGAATTCACGCTCCTCGTGTCATCTCTCGGCTGCATTGAGATTGTTCCCATGATTGGAGACTAAACGGGTTGGCTGCTCACGCGATTCCATTGCCAGTAATGCTTGCAGCCGAAAGGGTAGTGAGTCGACTCGGTTCAAATCACTACCTACTGGACAATGCAGTGCAACTGTATGCCAGATGATCGAAATTACACACATGTAGGGCCGATAGGAGCATTTGAGATCGAAGTTGTGCAAGCGAAGTGAACCTAGCTTGTTGACGAAACACGGGACAGAAATCGATGAAGCATCGTCAGAGACATGCCTGGGAATTTTGTTTAGTGGTGACGACAGTAAAAAGCTGGGTGTTTTGGTTATATCTGCATAGCCACGCCTATAATTACTCCGGAAAAAAAAGATATCAGCGGTACGGCGTACCAACGCTTCGCTGCCACACAACCACCACCAGTCGCGCGTGGGCTAAGGATACTGCGAGGGTCGCCCGGTCCCCTACGCAGGCTCGAACCCGCGACCTGCGGGTTGCGAGGCAGATGTCTTGACCTTTCGGACCATGTGTATGAAGTTCCCGGAGGGTTGCGACTTGCATCGACTCACTGCAGCATATATCAAGCAGGAACTCGGAGAGAGCGTCGATTAATAATGATCGGTGAAGAGCTGTCAGGCACTACCATAAGCAGCTTTTGAACAACAGAAGTAAAGTCGACAACCGTACGCGTTTGATCAGCGTGTCGCTCATTTATACGGCTATCACAGCCGGACCTGACCTGTGGCAGCGTAAAGTTTACAGAGTCTGTATAGTTTATCTCAGCCAGACAGCAACTGGCAAGCATGCAAGCAAAGAAAGACATCAGCAGTGTGCTATCACAAACACGGCCACTAGACGCCGAGAGCCAGCTAGGGATAATACAAGGTCGCTTGTAACTGCGCAGAAACGATGATTACAAACAAGAAGCCTGAACTAGTCGGTAAACAACCGGCCACTATGTGACAGTGGCTATTGCTAGCAATAATCCTGAGCTTCTATGTATAGGGTTGCATGCAGATTTCAATTCAAGAGCAAAAGTTGGAATTGTAAAAAGCGTGTAAAAGAAACCAAAGTTGTCACGAGTACAAGACTGGGAGGTTAAATATTAGGCAAAATCAAGATCGTTCAGTACTAGGGTGTGGCTGAGAAATACAATAATATGGTTCTTAAGACGCAGACAAGAGATACGTGGGTGCCGCATTTGGAGAAAGCAAAAATGGGCAAATTTTAAGTACGCATCAGTCGCTCACAAAAGAAGGTGTCAACGGTGTTTCCAAACATTCGTACACGTCTGTCGACAGAACACCAGGGAGACAGGGAGACACAAAAACCTGATTTCACTTAACTGACAAGTTAAAAGTGGAAGTGCAGAGTAATCATGGATATAAACAAATGAGTGGCAGCTTACATCGGCATGTCGAAATCCAAGCTCGTCCAAGCTGTCTGAGCTAAGTAGATCTCCATGTGAACGCATTGCCCATTGCTCATATCGAAGTAAAGAAGAAATAACCTGCCCGATTAGATCGTGTGTCCGGATAAGCTCATTCAAATAATCCTGTAAAATGGGAAGGAGGAAAACACAATGTTACAAAGAATTCGTTTTGGCTAAGATGACGTGATCTACATAAAGCCCACATTTATTTTTATCCGCAAAATCTTAGTGTACAAGTCAAAAATTTGCGGTAAGACGCTGAAGAGAAAGAACTCCAGTAGACCAGACACGGAAATCCGAGACAGTAGGCGAATTGGGTCAAATTGCAAACCATTGTGGTGGTCCTGGTGGTAGTCTTCTGGGGTACACTCGAACACGAAAATGTTAGTTCTATAAGCCTAAGGCTAGGAGACGGTGAAATGCGTGCGCAGCATCGTCATACTCAGAGCAGTACGGTAGACAAATGATGCACGCAAGTAAAAGCGATAAGGTTACCACAGGCAGCAGCAACCGAGAGTAGGATTACTTGCTATTTAAAATGGCAGTTAGACAAGGATTTAACGAAGTCTAAAATGGTATAATAATAATACGTATATTTCCCGATTGTACGAGAAGCTGTCCCTGGATTGTGGACAGATCCTGGTACAATAATTGTCATGCTCATGCATGAGTGAAATATGTAGTAGCTGCTAGTTGAAATCGCAGTTAGACAAGAATTTAACGACGTCTCAAATGGTATGTAGGACTGATCTCGTCACCAGGAAAACTAGGTGACCGACAGACAGGAGTTTTGAACTTTCTAATTACGCAGGCCTGAGCAATAGATAAAAGTGACAAAGTAGGGGCAGATCGAGGTTACTGATGGAGTTATTACTGAAGTAACACACTTGAGGGTTGTATGGTACCCCACACAGAATGAGAAGTGTCAATTAGAAGTTAAGTCGGTCTAAAAAGCGAGTAACATAAATGAGCAAACGTCGATAAGAGGATCGTAACGATCCTAGAGAAAATGAAAGCGAAATATCATTGAGGCTGGATTTCCAACACGGAGGATGATTGTGGGAGGAGGGCGCAAAATATACTGAGTTAACGACCCAATCATTTAGGCAGTAGATATGAAGTTCCAGTTCGAGTTGATGAACCAAAGCAAATACCATGCGAAGAAAACCAAAGGTTCCGTGAACAGTTCGTTGGAACCACACGTCGTTGCTGCTGCAATGAGATTCGATACAATCGGTCCCAGGAATTTGAGCTTCGGAGCACCCATTGTTGTTGATTGCACGCTACCCGACCAGTGGGCCAGCAAATTCGAAACGGAAAAGCAATTGAGGATTTCTCCTGTCATTGGAGACAAAGTACGCCACTTGTCAAACACTAGTCGTCTAGTAAACACAGTAACTTCTTACCCTGTGCCTTGGAACACGTGACGCAAGCTGAAATAATTAGGCAAGCACAGACGTGGGAGCCTACATAAAAGCCAAGATCAAAGGTGTAGTGTAGACTGTTAAGAATCAAGAAAAGACATCTGTAATTAGTGGACAGAAGAGCAATTTATGCCATACACAAAATTGAACCACAATTTTACTATGACGCATTTTCGCTGTCTATTTCGTGCTAGCCAACCGCCTGAGCTCATTGGCACACGATCGCTGTTCGTCCGAGGTTGTTCGGACCACTCCCATCTCGATTGAGAAAAAAAGGCATTAGCGGTACGCGAATACGTAATGCTGACGCTTTGTTGCCACGCAATCACCGCCAGTCGCACGTAGGCTTAGGATACTGCGAGGATTACCCGGTCCCCTACGCAGGTTCGACCCCACGCTATCGGATAACAAGTCAGACTTTGATCCCTAAGACTACGAGTCGGCTATCTTAATTGGAACAAAGCTACGCCGTTAGCATGTTATAGGTTTTACACCAACCATCCACTGGTTCACTCAGCTTGACAAAGCTTTCGTGTCAAAAGTGAAACATTGCCCAGAAGCTAAAGTAACCGGTCGATTTCAAACAATTCTGAAATTCTGAGTTCGCGATGAGTTCCAAGCATATTTCAAGATGTTGAAAGCTGTGCCAGTAGACAAGTGCTAACCACCTTCGCCTTACACGCAACAAACAAATCTCCCATTCTATGTCTCGACCCATGTGTACAACAGGTGAAATGATAATTAATAACTATCTCCGTTGCACTATTTTAGAACACCAATGTGTAGAAAATGTTGTGCTTAAATCAGATAGTATGTTCAACATGTTTGATTTCCGCTTTAATATTTCTCTTATCATCACACAATTGCAGTTCATCCTTTACCCAAGGAAAATAAAACTTGGTTCCGTCCGTAACCGGAGCTCTCGGCCAGGACACTATGAATTATCTTTCGTTCATCCAAGGCTTTGAACTAGATAACAATGGATGGTAAAAATACGCTTTTTATTTCTCTTCGTAGATAGCATGCGAAAGTGTGAAAATTTTATCAGGTCGAAAGAGACATGCCTCCTAAGCGCGAGCATTTCATCATTATTATTATTATTATTATCACTATTACAATCAAACCTGTCAAGGGCGACCACTCAAGGGACCGACAAAAATTGGTCACCAGACAGGTTTGTGCATAGAGAAAATACTCATAGGGGATGTTTTTGACTGGTCTCCATAGACGGGTGGTCGCCAAACCAGATTGGCCTGTGTTAGTTCAAGACAACTCCTGGTTGATTACTACGCCCGTACAATTTTGTTAAATATGTGCCGGTGCCGACTGGTTAGCTTTTCGCCCGCTGGCCTCATGTCTATTCAGCTCATTCGGTCGGTTTCTCAGCTACCTTCGCGCTGTGCTCCGTCAGCTTACAGAGACCTTAACACACGTGTGAAGCTCGCTCACGTTTGTCCTACAACAATGCCGTGCTTCGTCCACGATAACTATTTCCGGGATGTCCGCTCGACCCGTGGAATTATCAACAACCAGCATGGATGGAGCTTGACTGGCTTTGTGTTTGCTGGTCGCGAGTCGGTTTCTCTTGCCTAATCTGTGAGTCGCTATCACGAAAAATAGCTAGAAGACAGAGCTACTGTGCTAGCCCCAATTCCTACATGGTCCAGGGAAGTCAGTGCGATAGGTGCCACAGACAGATTTCAATGATGAGCCACATACAGTAAAATCTCCGAAGTTAACCACCTCTGTGTCCTGGCCACCTCTCTAAGCTGACCACTTCATCATAGCTTAAGCGTTCATCAAGTAAACCCATAGAAACCAAACCTCTGTTTGTTGATCACCACTGTAAGTTGTATCTAGACCATTTGGGCTAAAAATCATGATTAATTTATCCGCTATAAGTTGACCATGTGAAGGTTTGTTGCAGAATGGCAGCCTTGGTAGATTTGGTTGCTCAAATAATAATGTGTTTGTAGCGGGATTTTGCAATGTGTGAAAGTCTCCCGACCCACAATCACTGCACTTTACGGCTCCGCAGAAGATGGAGGATACAGCACTTTCTCTGTCTGCGTAGGTGCGTGTGCATTTTGTCTGACTCCCCAGTCTCTACGCGCATAGCTGTTGACTTGTTCACAGATTTACCTTGACTGTATTTGTACGAACCGTCTCAACACCCACCTACATAGGCAGGCAAGCATCAAGCCTACTCTTTATACACATATGTCACAGGTCGCAAGCAGGAGTTTGAGACCCTTTAGGATCGATGACCCTACGATCAGTACAACCGACGGATTCATTAAAATCCCTTGGTTTATCTTTAAACTGGCACGGCAAGCTACCGACTCACATCCTTGATGAGTTGCGCCAGCAACTGCAGGGAACTTCGCAAGCGCCATTAAAATCACACCAACGGAATGAAATTCCTAGAAGCCTACTCAGTCCACGACATTTACACAGCCTGTCGCTGGCAGTAATATGTCGATACACGCTCAACACGATGGACAGATGAACAAGGGCCAAAATACAGAAACGGTAAAGATTACCCAAGGATAAAGCCGATACCTTTACACATGCATGCAACAGGGACCACGGTTTAAGCATTCCGACTATTTCAACAGAGCAAGAAGAAAGACCGTCAAACAGAACATAGAGAATATAGTAATTTCGCGTATTCGCCTCAACTGTTTACAAACAATTTGTGAAAAGGGCAGGCTACATAGCAAAGACAATCAAAATGTAATGTTTTAGGCGAAAATTTAAAGCGGTCGAAAATCGGTGAGTTCACGTGATCCAGTAGGAGGAAAGACGACACTAGGCTCAGCAGGGTAAGGCGATCCTGGTCACGAAGTCCGTTTGTTTGCACAAACTTGGCTTCAACCGTCTAATCGCCGAGGCCTCTCCGAACTGAAGTAGACAAGGATTGCTTTGATTGTTGATTACCACGTGGGTTTTCGCACACAGGGCAATCAAGCAGGTAGCGATCAATACAGCTAGTGGACAGTTCCGGGTCATTTGCGACCATGTACCAGGGCACGTGCTCTGCAATCCTCGCTGACAGCGTTCTCTCAGTTCTGCCAACGTACTTGCTACCGCAAGTACAGGTAAAGAAGTAGATGAACGAAGCGGTAACTTGAGAGTCCGGTCTGTACAGGTTGGATTTGCGCAGCAGCCTCCTGACTTGGTGCAATGCGAATAGCTCAGCCGCGTACTAGCACATCTTTATAGATTGACGAAGACGTTGCCGACATCTTCTGTCCACTTGCTCCCCTTTAAACGGCAGCGTAATAAGTACCTTTATTTTTGGAACATCTATTGTTGGTTTATCTTTCGGCTTTGAATTCACGTACCATGTTATAAATCGCTCGGGTTATCCATTCTTTTGTAGTGTCAAGGTGACGCGCTTTGTGGTGATCTGCTAGAAGTCGTTCAGGAATTCAAGTCCCCGGGCAGCTATATTAGCACCCGTGGGATTGAAGATGAGGTTACGAACCGTATAGCAAAGCTCGAGGTGCTTTTGCCAATCTTCGCCACCTGTGGCGCAGACGCGACATTACTCTCGCCCTGAATGGCAGAGTTTATAACGCAGCCATCCGTTCAACTCTCCTGTATGCTTGTGAATCCTGGCCCATCAGGTCGACAGACATAAAGAGGCTCGTCATATTCGATCATCGCTGCCTTCGCAGCTTAGCACATGTCTGA